AATAAATGTTGTATGTTGCAGGTGCGTAGCATGCGTGAGCCAACCACTTGCTCTGTGTCATCGACGCGGAAACTGCCATGTCGCATTTATGGAGCCCATTTCTTTTAGTTAACCTGTTAGAAAATTTTCAGCAGTAGCCTAAGATACTAACTACTTTTGATCAAAAAAAAGGTACATTTAACTACCACTGAGAAAAAAACACTTCAAATATCCGTCCCTCTATTTTAATAACATACGGCTGTGATTGCTTTGCACAAATTACATGAGGAAAGAAACTACTTGAGACGCAAGGCACCTTCCGAGACATTTGCACCCAATGTGTGTCAATGAAAGATCATTCACTTCAATGGGTTCGATCTCTAAAGCTATGTATTCCAAGTAAATCTGAATAGCTTTCTTCCTCTCCAAGGAAATCTCATCAATCTTTTTCTTCAACCAATCTAGCTTGAAGCCCGCTTCTGTTAGCTCGATCAACTCGCTCGAGCGCTTTCTAGCTCAGTCTCGGTGAAGCTATGTGCAGGCTTGTTTAGTGTTTCGATTAGGCTTAGGAGGAGATTCATGTATGTTGTCTTCACCAATTGGTTCTTTGGTCTGAAATTCACTGCAAAGCCCGGGTGTTCCAAGAAAACACATCATAATTTCTTTTGGTTTTAAACATCAATATTTTCTTACCCAATCATGTTTGTAGATCAAAAAAATATCTGACAGTCCATAAGTTTAAAATAAGTTTTTCCAGCCTAATCTCCTGAACAATCAAACATTGAACACTAAGCATCAGATACTATTGGAGAACTAAACAACCATGCATAAAAGATAAAACATGACTTTACTAATCTCAACCAAATAGAAACCCAATTGAGTAGTTTCTCAAGGTGTTTCCTACATATTCAACACTAATTTAAGTAATTTTGCAATGTTGGTTTACAGTTCCGCATGTATTACCTTCTAGTTGAATAGGATTAATAACAACCCATATATTACACTACTTCTTACATAACCATGGATGGACCATTGCAAATAATCGAATTATTATGATGTGTTAGTTAATTAAGTGAAGCCAAAACCAAGCACAAAATTAACAGAATGGTCAGCAAGGTA